TCTTGAACTGGTTTTCTATTTTCTTTACTGTAGCAGTTACATCTTCTGTTGATGTTACCTGTAGAAAAGTGCAAAACATTATCGATATGTTACTACAAAAATTCGTTTTATAAAGTCAAGCATACAATTATAAATTATATACAATGAACATTTAACAAAAAAATGATACAAATACACTTTCAATGTCAATTCACAATGGTTACTAATGATGTTATCTCTAGTATACACACATAAAATTAAGACCAATGACAGTAACAATATTAAAATTGATAAAATTACCAAGTCTTACATTCCTAGAAAAACCAATTGATGTTGTTTTAATTACTAAACTACTAATATATAAGCTTAAAAATTTTACTTTCACAAGCTTTTTAAAGGACTTTTTTGTTATTACTACTACTAATAATACTAGTAGTAATAGTGTTTGTTATCCAATACTTACATCCATTGGTGTAAACATAGCAGATGTTCCAAGCTCCTGAGCAATTTCATTTCCGTTAGATCTTGGTAAATCTGCAATAACTACTTTGGCACCTTCTTTTACAAATCTTCTCACAACACCAAGTCCTAATCCAGATGCACCACCAGTTACAAGAGCAACTAATCCCTACAACATATGTAAATTTGATCTTATGTTTAAATATTTCTTTTTTCTATGTAATACTATGTATGTAATACCATATAATACATTAGCATTAGCAAATTCAAGATATTCGTGCAAAGAAAGCTACTAATATTCAAAATTCATTATTTTCAGTCTATTTCCCAAAGTATGTAAAGCATTTACTGTAATACATTCTTAATTAACTAAATCTTATACTTCGTCGAGATAATATCCGTTATGATAAGAAAAATAAATTTTATGGAAAAATAAGGAACTGCATCATATTTATCTACATTATAAATATTCAACTTAAATTATTTTATTCATGATTAGAAAATAATAATTCGTGTGATTGTTCATTAACATTACTTTGGAATGAAAATACCTTTCACACAACACACGTGTGAATACACAAAAACTGGATACTTATAATCGTAGTAATAACGTACATATGGAGAAAAATATCAAACTTACGTTCATTGTTTGAAAAGAGAAGAAAACTTGGACAGAAGAAAAATGCAAGAAATGAAATATGAAAACTACTATACAGAAAGCAGTTGAACCGCTACCGGCTGTTAAATACCACGTCGTGTCTCGAATAAAAGCAAACGGAGTTTAAGAATCAACAGAAGTACTAAAACTGTTAACTTATCGGGATGAAACTTTGAACCATGTAGGCGTTCCTTCTCTCCTTACGAAATCTTATCCTGTGAATCAAACAAGGATAAATAGATCGTGTAATGGAGAATGAGACAGCAAAGTTTGCGATACATACGTACATACTGCCCGACAAACCTAAAGTAAAGCCTCTGACGTCACAATCTATCATTTCTATAAATTTAAAGGAAAATGTAACCCCTAATCTGATAAATACATGTATACTGTCCGACAAACCTAAAGTGAAGCCTCTGACGTCACAGCCTAGCAAAATGGAGGCAAAATAGGCGGTTCAGGTCATCCCCACTACTCTTGGGTCTTACACTGCAGGCACTTGAGGGGAAGTTGCGTTGTACGTAAATAGTTTAGACAAACGAATTTAACTCAGCTATCGATAATGTAACACGCTGATAAAAGAACGGAAAACTAAAAATTATTTAGTCGCCTTGTCCTATTACCTACGTTGGCGCGCAAGACATATTTAATAGCGCAGACGTTAATTTCTAAGCGACTCATACACAATAAATTGTTATTGTAAAGGAAGCCTCAGGAAATGTATTAATATTTTCTAACAGTTAGAAAACTAAAATGTAAATATTTTTTTCCTATTCCTGAATTATAAAAGTAGATTTCGACGCATTAAAAAATTGCTTAAGGAGCTAAAAAATTTCTGGCTGCAATGAAAAATAGCGTGCCACCACAAACCGACAGCCACTTTTTACAGCCAATAAAAGCCATCACACAGCCATTATTTAATGTTAAAATTTTGAAAAATTTGACAAAATCAGACGACATGTCGTCACTTTAACCGTAATATTTCGGCTTTGTTTAAAGATAATATTTCGACCTTGGGCTCATTTCATAGCAATAATCGCTGCTAAAATTTGACACTGTTCCCACTCATAGATAAATATTACAATTTAAATACAATTAATGGTTCTTTGTTATATAAGAAATGTATAGCAATTAAAAATGAAATAAAGCGAAAAGTATAAATAATCATTTCTTTTTACTCGATACTTAGAAATTCATATTATTTTAAAAAAAGGGTATAATTCATATGCACATTAACGACATAGTAATGATATCTTTACGAAAAAATTTCTTTATTAAGAAAATCATTGTTAAAAGATTTAATAAGTAGAACTTTGATCTTAGATTAAAGGCAATATATACACAATGACAGAGCATATACCTATTCATTTCATAAAAGAAAAGTGATAAACGTATAATACTACGTAATCAAGAATCATTCTAAAAGAAATGAATTTAATGTACAGTCGATAAACAAAAACAATGTAGAAGTACTTTTATTTAAAATCAAAATTTATAATTCACATAATTAAATCAAATAATTCACTTTACTCTGTAATAGTCGTGAACCTAAATATGTGAAATAGAAATCTGTGATGTTTACCACAATGGCGCATGAATAATTTAGTATTGTTCGTATTATGGGTTATGTTTTGTAAGATTGATAAATACAATAATGAAGTTCAAGAATTCGTTACGCATTAATTCTTATTACAAATATCGCTGCAATAAATTTTCTACTCAAATATTATCAGGTACTTACATATTTTATATAACACAATACTTAAAAAAAAAATACTTGCTACAAAATTATTGTTGTGTTCCTTTTTAGATTTTCCAAAAACTTTTAATCATAAAGATGCTGAACGTGAATGTTATCAAATTTGGGAAGAAAACAATTATTTTACTGTTAAAAATAGTGAGAAAACTGCATTGAAAATGCTTTTACCTCCTCCTAATATAACTGGAACATTACATTTAGGACATGCATTAACTGTTACAATTCAAGATGTACTAGCAAGATGGTATTTTTGCTAATGATTCGTTATTTTTTAAATTTTATTAAGTACTAGTTAAAAATGTAATCTATATTTAGGTACAGAATGAAAGGACATCCTGTGATCTGGATACCTGGTTTTGATCATGCTGGAATAGCAACTCAAATGATGGTAGAAAAATATCTTTCCAAAGCAAAAGGTGTTAAGAGATCTGACATAGGAAGAGAACAATTCCTTTCACTTGTTTGGCAATGGAAAAATGAAAAGCAAAATACAATAAAATCACAATTAAAGGCTTTGGGTGCTAGTTTGGATTGGTCTAAAGAATATTTTACAATGAGTAAGGTATTTAATTTTTTCTGCAGAACATATTTAATACTTTAAATGAATATGTTACTTTTTATATTTAAAATTTTAGGAACATAGTAATACTGTGATAGAAGCATTTCTAACATTAAATAGTCGAAATTTACTATATAGGAAAAAGGACTTAGTTAATTGGTGTCCTACTTTACATAGTACAGTATCTGATATGGAGGTAGATCGTTTATATATTACTAAGAAGATGCAACTCCAAATTCCAGGATATGATAAAATGATTACATTTGGTGAAATAGCACATGTAGCTTATCCAGTGAAAGATTCAAGTAAAGTTTTTCATTACATATTCTTCGTATTTTATGTGTAACAATTAAATTGTACAAAGAAATTCATTTTGAACTTCTATTTCAGATCATGAAATAGTAGTGGCAACTACTAGACCAGAAACTGTTTTTGGAGATGTAGCAATTGCTGTTCATCCAGATGATGAGAGGTATGCAAAATACATCGGGCAGCAAGTTTGGCATGCCATAAGAAGAACTTATATACCTGTTGTTTCTGATCCTTTAGTTGATAAACAATTCGGCACAGGTAAATACATTTTAATAATTACAAATCTTTGTAAGTTTGAGAAGTACATTACAATACAATTTTTTAGGAGCAATGAAAATAACGCCAGCACATGATCCTTTAGATTATATGATTGCAGTAAATCATCAATTAGATATTATTCAAGTTATTGATGAATATGGGAACATTACAGATGCAGGCAAACAATTTAAGGTTTAATAATTTTTTAGTTAAAGAATTGTACCTTGTACAATTTTTACTTCAACACAAGTATTTTTTACTATAGCTCTTTTCTATTGAAAGTAAAAGGAAAGATATTTCAGGGTTTGCCAAGATTTATTGCTCGGGAAAAAGTCTTGAATGAAATGTCAAATGAAGGTATACTCAGAAGTATCAATGATCATGAAATGTGCATACCACTGTGTTCACGATCTCACGATGTTGTAGAATACTTATTAAAAGAGCAATGGTTTGTCAAATGTAAAGATATGGCTCAAAAAGCAGTACAAGCTGTGAAACAGGGTAATTTAACAATGATACCTGACACTCATAAACAATTATGGTATGATTACCTTGATAACATCAGGTAAAAAGAAAAATACATATACAAAAAATTAATATTCATTTCTTAAATATGCTTTTTTTTTTTAGAGATTGGTGTATTTCAAGGCAAATATGGTGGGGACATCCTATACCTGTCTATTACGTTACAATAGATGGTAAAACCGAATGGATAGTGGCTCGAAATGAAGATGATGCAAAACTTATTGCACAAAATAAATATGGATCACATATAAAATTACACAAAGATCAAGATGTATTAGATACTTGGTTTTCTTCTGCAATACTTCCTTTTGCAGTAATGGGATGGCCAGAGCAGGTATAAAAGAAGAATAATTAAATAATATACGTGATTTAATTACATTTGTAGATACATTTTTAGACGGAGGATTTTAAAACGTATTATCCCTTAACATTAATGGAAACAGGAAGTGATATTCTCTTTTTTTGGATTGCAAGAATGGTAATGCTAGGATTAGAATTGACTAACCGTCTACCTTTCGACGTAAGAATTTTTACGTTTTATCATATATATATATATTCTTTTTAAGTTAGCTTTTTCTACTAAATAAAAGCTATTAATTTAGGAAGTTTTACTACACGGTCTTTTATGTGATGCTTATGGAAAGAAAATGTCTAAAACAGTTGGAAATATTGTTTCTCCAGAAAATATTATTCATGGTATTACTTTAAATGTGAGTATTAATGTGCATTTCACACCAAGATCTATTTTATTTATTCTAAATGTTTTGATATAAATAGGATCTTACTGTACAAGTGAAGAAGAGTTATGATGCAGGTATTCTTAATGAAAATGTTCTGAAACGAATGTTAGCTGCAAATAAAAAAATGTTCCCTAATGGTATACCAGAATGTGGTGCAGATTCATTGCGTATGACATTGTGTAGTCATAATATTAAAAGTTAGTGTACATTAATATATAACATTTTTCTTTCGTTTTATAATGTTGCAATTATTACAATACAATTATTTTTGCATAAACAGATCAACACATCAGTTTTGATATTATGGAGTGTCAAACAAATAAATTTTTCTGTAATAAAATCTGGCAAGCTAGCAAATACATCTTACTTATGACAGGCGAAAAAGTATATCAAAAACCTACAAATATGGCAACTATTGATTGTTGGATTTTGAATAAATTATCTGTAATGATCAATGCAGTTAATGATGCACTGACAAAACGAGATTTTCATGAAGCTATTGCATCAATAAAGCAATTTATGTATTACCAATTTTGCGACTATTACTTGGTAAAATTATAATTAGAAAATTTGTTGCTCTAAATACTAACAGTATTTTAAATATTTAACATACAACTAAGATTTCGCCTGATCTTATGCAGGAAGCAACTAAATGGGGATTTAAAAGTGAAAATACAAACATTCACATAAGTCACACATATACTTTAAGAAAATGTTTAGAAGTACTTTTACGAACATCTGCGCCTATAGTACCATATCTCTGTGACGATTTGTACAAAAGATTATCGAACAAATTGCCAGAATTTTTATCAGTGTTATCATTAATGGAAGCGCCATATCCAGTACCAGAACAGGTAAAATTGTACACTAATATTTTAGTATATTACAAAATATTAAACTCGTGTGTATAATCATTGCAGTTTAATGAATGGAGAGATGTTTCTCTAGATGAAAGAATGCACAAAGTCTTAAAAATTATATTAGAAGTCAGAAGCATTTTAGCTAAAGTTAGCAAAAAGTTAAATCCAGAAGGTAATTATTTTTCTACAAAACGTAAATAAAGTAGTTAAAAGAATATTTTTGTTTGTAGTTCACATTGTAACTAGAAAGCCTGAAAACTTTAGTTTCTTCAGTGATGTTACAAATATAATCAAAGGGGGAACCAAAATCTTCAATATTCTTATATTCTTAGAAAACAATTACACACAAAGTAAAAATAGTGTGTGTTACCCCTATACTTCTGATTGTACAATATTCATTGTCATAGAGGTAATATACAAAATTTTATTATGTTATTTTAATTTGTAAATGTTAACATTCATTATTTACTTTATTTCCAGAATTCTTCCATTTTGGAACAACTTAACAAGAACATTTCAAATAAAACAATTGTACAAAAGGAAAAAGTTTAAAAACCGTTGTACACAACAAATGTTCTTTGAACAAGTGAACAAATATGTGAGAGTTATATCACAGTCCATTTTTGTAAAAATACAGTTTGAATGACAAATTGGATAATAATGGACATAAAACATAATGTAAGACATGATATATTTAAGCAAAAATAATTATGTAAGACCATTAATTTTGATCAATATCCATAGGTTCATCTTCAGAACTATCTTCATTTTCATTACTATCATCAGTGTGCTCACTATCTGAACTAGAATTACTGGAATCGTACCAAGTTTGCAAAGATAAATCATCTGTTAGTATTGTTTTCCATTCGTCTAATTTCCGACAATCTAGAAAAAATGAAATAATTAAAAATTTTATTGTACACATATAACATTTATTAAATCATAGTATACGCACCTAAACTATAGAAATCACTGAGTGTATATTGTCGGTCTCCATCTTCAAACATGCCACCATATAAATATAAAGTATTATGCTTTACTACAAGTCCAACATTTATTCTTGGACATGGGACAAATATGTTTTCATGAATGTTTTCTTTCTTATCAATTGTAGATATCGATGCTGGTCCCACTGTAACTGTAAATATTCCATCATCATCAATAACTGTAGATTCAGTAGTAATAGATGGTGGTTCGTGTATTTCATTATCACTGTCATCTTCATTTTCAGTAGTATTTTCTGGCCCTTCTTCTTCCTTCGGTTTTCTTCTTCGACGTCGTGTGGTCACATCTTTCTTCCCGCATAGTGTTACTGATAACGGTTGAGTAAAAGTATTTATTCTTCTACTGGACTATGATATTAAAAGAATTTTTATTGCAATTGATGTATCTACCTGTATACCATTGAAATTTTTCCAAATCTAAAGCTACTAAATCATTATAAAATTTTCCATGAAGATCTTCTTCATTATCTTCTTCATCATAAACTCCACCAAATAAGTAAGCTAAATTTGGTTGAACTAAAGTAGCTGATGCACTACATCGTGGTGATATTTTAATTCCTGATTGTTTTATAGAAACCCATTTCCATTTTAAACCACTTTGATCATTTTCTAAAATGAGGCTTTTAATATTATCCGAGACTCTAAAGAAAAACATTTTTATATAAAAATCTACTTACTCTCAGGAGTCATTAAAAACATGTCATTATGAATGCAACCTTTATCAACATCTTTTTTTATTCTTTCTTTGCTATAACCACCAGTTTATATAACGATTTATTTCAAAAATAGCCTTTTGTTAAAATTTTACCAGATAACTCAATTTTGTGCCATACATATGTTTCAAGATTGAATATGTGTACATCATTGTAATATTTGTAATCTCTTAAGTTATCATGAAATCCACCAAAAACTACTAATTGTTTCTTTATATGTGTCATTCTATGGCCACTTCTAGATGATGGTCCACCAGGAGATCTTAAAGAAAAGTTGAGAAAAATAAATAATGGATAAATCTCACATGCATAATTTTTAAGAACTACATATAATTAACATACAAAATCTTTTCCCATTTCTTTTCTGCAAATCGATAAACCCATAAATCTTTATAGTGGTAAAATTGAGATTCTGAAGGACTTGAAAATTCACCACCAAATACCCATAATTCTCCTTTATTTGTAGTTGTTATTATTGCTTGATGACCACAACGTGGAGGTGGAGCACTAGGTGCTTTAATGATCATCCACTCATTTTTATTTATATTATATGTAAACATGTCTCCATAAACAAATGTCTAAAAATAAGTAAAATTATTGGATTTAATCTAAATAATTAAAATATTAGTTACTTGAAATAAATTTTACTATTGTCTCTGAAATATTATTTTAATGACATATAAACTGCTTTTTTTACCGTTCGTCCATCATGAAATTCTCCACCAAGCATAATAAGTTCATCTTTAAAAGGATGTGCTGTTAAAGTAAAATTTACACGTCGAGATGGTGGTGCTACTGTCTTTTCAACAACATGCTGTCTTCTAGCTTCTTCTTTTTCAATTTGAGCAATTACATTTTCTATATCATCCTAGAATTTATAATGGTAAATTAATATCACTTTTACATTAATAAACTAACATTATTGTTGTTACATTTAGAATCATAATAAGATTATTTTAAGTAAGAATAAGGAAAATAAAACTTGTTTATTTTTTATAATAAGTTAAACGTATTTTTATTCATAAATCAAACATTTTATAAATTGTTAAAGTATGTTTCATAAATTTCTAGAAATTCATTATATTTATAGATTTGCCTAACCTCCCCAAGTGTGGCCAATTCCTTTTTTTGTTTAGCATTCAACTTTCTTTCAGTTTTAAGTGCAGTTTTTACACTACCACTTATTTTCTTTTTACTTTTATCTTTTTTACCCATATTGCGCAATAAATTTTTTCAAAAGCAGAAAATACTTTTGAAATTTTAATAACACATGTGATGCAATTGTGTGAACGCACTTGATGTTCAAAACAGTACAGTAACCACTATATTTTTATTCAGATAAATGAATGTAATAAATCATCAAAGTTAAAATTTACTTTTAAATTTCTAAAACCTATTTAAAGGTAGAATGTACAAAGAAAAAACATATATCAGTAAATTGAAGTTTATTTCCATAAGTAAGTTTTATCTCATATACATATGAAACCAATTTTTTATTACAAAACATCATGCGATTATTATTATTATATTAGCGTTGTTTAAAATCTGTTCATGTAAATTTCTTAAATAATTGCGTTATTATTGGAGAAATCGGGCTTTATTGTATAAATAAGTCTTAATATTTTACAAACATTGATATAAAACATTTTTTAAAAATTTGTATCCATTTGTCCACTATGTAAACGGTACTTAAATTTGTCAATCGTGAGACCAAATGTTCTGAAATAAAGTACGTTTCTTTGATCGAAAGTCGATCACAAAGTACTAGTTCTGCAGCAAACGTCAAAGTTAAAACAATTTTTAATCAGAGATTCTGCTTTTGGAAGAAAAGGGGTATCCTAAAATCCGTACTATTAAAAAAAAGAATTCTATTTTATTTCTCACAGTGACGCTGTGAGGTTGTCGCCGCAATTATTTACGGCGTCGTCACCGTTCTAATACGTCCATGCAATGTTAGTTGGCTCTCTGTCCCGCAAAGCATTACGTTATTTTTTTAGTGGCCACCACTTCAATGTTGTGATTATTTTCACATCTGATTAATCGTATCGTGGTAGAGTAAGGCGAGGTTCGCGGTCGCATCATGTTTTGGGCAGGTAATTACGTGTCATCTCCTAATATCGAGGCACTTCTTAACAAAGAGGTAAGGAAATCTTTCATCAAATGAAACTTTTTTTTTACTGATTTAGACAATACAAGTTTAGAATATTTATTAAAATTTTGTACAAAAAATGCTGTGATCATTTTTATTTCGTTTTTTTCTATTATATTATTATTTTAGTGAATTCAAAATTATATGCATTACATTTTATATGATACAATATCATTTGTACATTTTCAATATCTTTCACAAACGATCATCTGCAAAATATAAATTTTTCATAACAAAAATGTGATCTGTCAGAAATAGAGTAGTAGATAACATTTTAAAATATCATACTGTGTTTTTTAAGTATTAGAAGATTCAAATCTTGCTGCTGATAATATTTACAGGTTTTCTTTCATTGTTGTTCTATCTTTTATAAATTTGTGAATCTTTCTAATGTAATGCTTAAATCATAACACATTGCAGTTTGGACACTTTTGTATCTTATAAAAGGAGTATTAATATATCATGATGCAAGAGTTCTTTTCATAACCTATTTTTTTAAACAATTTATTAAGTGTAGCTTAATAATGCATATTTTTACATTTGTATTAATATTTACAAAAAGTGAAAATTTTAATTTTGTTTATAATTTTAGGATGTTACATTGTTTGAGTTGATGGATGATGAGGATATTTTACAAGAATGTAAAAGCCAGAATAAGAAACTTATTGAGTAGTAAGTAAGATTTAAATGTATTTTTATAAGTACTAAATAGTTATAATATAACATTGTTTATAGTCTTACAAGATCTGATGTAATGGAAGAATTAATAACACTGACAACTAAAGAACCATCACCAGATATAGAAGAACGTTGGCGTTACAAATATCCAAATGTAGCTTGTGAGTTGCTCACTTGTGATATATCAGTTTTAAATGAAAAATTAGCAGGTAAGAAAATTAATTGATCATTTATTTAAGTAAAATTATAAAAATTTGTTTTTCTATGGAAAATAAAAATCACAAAATTATATAGTGTAATAATAATAGTTGTGAGAAATATAATTTAAGTAATTATAAGTTTAGATTTCAAAGGATGTGTTAGTAAAACTACATTGTATTTTTAGGCAATGAAGCACTTTTGGCAAAACTTTATTCTTTTATTGATACTGACCAACCGTTGAATCCTCTTTTGGCATCATTTTTTAGTAAAACTATTGGAGTACTTATCGGTCGCAAAACTGTTCAGGTGATTATAAGCTTATGCAATAAATTTACTAAAATTAAATATAAAGAGGAACGTAGAAAGTAGTATTACTCAGTAACATTATTTGTAATTAAAGTATAATTGCATTACAAATATTAAATATTAAATTTCCTATTTAATTCCTTGTTCATAACCTGAACCTACAAAAACCTACAATTCTGTCTTTTCCATCAGAACTGGTATTCGTATCAGTTCACTTGTTTGCAGCTCTTAGAATTTCTGAAAAGTCGTGAAACATGTGTCGACCTACTTTTACAACATTTAGAGACTTCTGCAATTATGGACTTAGTACTGAAACTCGTTAGTCAGGTTGAAGGAAATATGCGGCAAAATATATTAAGTGTAAGAAGATATAAAAATCTTTATCTTTAACATGATGATTACTTATAACACATCAATGCTTTATTTATCATAGCTGGCAGTTTTATGTCAAATTTTATGTATGTATTTACTTTAACAGTGGTTAGATAGTCAACAATTAGTGCAAAGAGTGATAAAGTTATTATCCCCTAATTCTGAACCAAGTAAACATGCAAATGCTGCACAATTACTTGGTGATATGATAAATGCTGCTAGAGAATATCAACGTACATCATCAGCACGCACTGGTCCAGATCCTATTTTAAATACTCTTGAATCGTGAGTATAATAAGTGAAAAACTGAAGTAAATAAATATACATGAAAAAATTCATATGTATAAGATATTTATATTACATTTTTACTTACAGAGCAGAAACAGTAAGCCTGTTACTAGAGACTATTTTAACGGGAGAGAAACTAGAAAGTAGTATTATTGGTGGAATTCAGGTACTTCTTACACTTTTACCAAAAGCTAACAAGTAAGGATGTAAATTATTTTAAACAATTTTTAATCTTTTACAAAAAACTACGAATATTTAATGCAAAGTAATACTTGAATTTTCAGTGGAAGAAATGAGGGCAGTGTCAATGGAAATGGCACTGAAGAAGAAGTTACAGATAATGAAGAACGTATCAAAATTGCAAATGCAACCTTGCCTTATTTAGAACAGCTTAACAAACTTCTGTTGGATCCACCTTATGTAAATATAAATTTTGTTGTTTAATGTTTTTATAAAAAACAATCAACTTTTTAAAGTACAATGTCATTGCATTAAAAAATCTTTTTATTTAAATATAACTGTTTAAGAACAGAAC